CAGCCATTGGTGCAATCTGTCGTGTCCACTTTTAAGAATTTACTCAAGGAAATATTTTCAGAAGCTAAAAGCACAGCTGTACGTGGGATATTCATCAATATAATAATTACAATATGGAAAAATTGGAAACCTAAATATCCATAAATAGGGGCCTCTTTAAGCACATCATGATATAAGAAAGTGAAAAATTTGGCAGCTATTAAAATTGTTGTAGATCTTTTTTAATGCAAAGATGTCCACCACATATTGTAGGGCAACAAAAGAAAAACCTAACAAAATAGAATGAATGTTATGAGCCCATTCATGTAAAATGCATATATGCAGGTATTTCCACATGTATTGACACATAAGAAATATCTGAACCATGTGATTTATAATTTTCTCTGAATTATAGACTTTCAAATGCTAGTTTCTTTCTCTCTGTTTATTTTTTTGTAATGCAAAAGTATTATTTTTATAGAAGGAATAAAGTATTCAAAAAGAATAAGCAAATAACCCATCATTAAGATTAAATATAGAAAAAAAATGGCCTTTTCTCTTAATTTAATTCCTAATTTATTGTCAAAATTTAAATTGGGAGTCCTAGTTTTTATCTATAAAACAGAGAGTATTTATTTCAGAACAAATTTTATTTTTGATTGAACTAGGTGAAAAGCACAAAAATTTTTATGTTTTATTTCTTTTGTATGTCTTCATTATTTCATAATAAATATTTTTACATTGTTTTAAAGCACATCTGTTTCACTTCTTAATGTATTTATATTACAACTGCAATGTTTATTAGTTCTGAGGACCTTAATGCCCAGTTAGGAAAATCTTCAAATTTGAGACTATTTTTAATAATTTGCTAGAAGTCTTTAAGAAACAGGCACTCATTTAATAAAAGATTTGTTAAATTTCTGCTATGTGCAATACACTACATCAAGGATAGTGGGAATTTTATTTTGTTTGTTATTATATGTGACAAAGAGTCTACTCTCAAAGAGCCAAAAACTTTATATTTTGAAGAATATTCTCTAAGTGGGAAATGATATAAACAACTTTTTTCTCTAAAAGTATCAGTCAAATCTAGATTTCATAGAGAAGACTGATCCCATCTATGAGACTCTCATGTTAGACTTCAATGATTTGAAATGACCATGTAAGTGTTCTGGGCCCATCCTTCAATGGGCTTGAAAACTTGCTCCAAAAACTGTGGACAGTCCAACAGCCAACTTGGATTGTGCCCCAATTGCAAGCATCCTGGCCACGGGATACCCAAAGGAATATGCATTAAAGAAAAAGAACAAAAACAATAATCATATATTAACCAGCAAGCCTGGCACAATGATCCCAAATTGCCTAGTGTCTCAAAGTGAATTTTCCTCAAGACTACTTAAAGTTCTCGAGGATGGTTCGTTGTCCAAAACATCTGATATGTTGATCTTGGCTTAGTATGACTGCACATGAGTTTAGCCACCACATTTCCAATTCATTGTCTTCTACTTCCTACCAAATATGAGGATTCCAGCTATCTGCATGTTTATGTACAGTGCAGGAGCTTTGTATCATTACCAAGCAACACATGGACCCCAGACTTCCTAGTAAAATACTGAATAGTTAACACCTTCATCTTAGTTCTTTAAAAGCTGGAGGTGATATTTGTTTCTTTACTCTAAACTTGAATAGTTCATTTTCTAGTACAATCGCACTTATATGTCAATTTACATTTAAAGAATTTTCATTCAGGTCCTGTTTTCCTTCAATGATTATATGTTATTTGAAAGCAAGAACAGCCTCTATTAGCATTTGTAGTCCCAAAACACCTGTTACAATGTCTGGTGAAGAGCAGGCTTTCAATAAATAATTTTTTTTTTTGAGACCGAGTTTCGCTCTTTTTACCCAGGCTGGAGCGCAATGGCACGATCTTGGCTCACCGCAACCTCCGCCTCCTGGGTTCAGGCAATTCTCCTGCCTCAGCCTCCTGAGTAGCTGGGATTACAGGCAAGCACCACCATGCCCAGGTAATTTTTTGTAGTTTTTTAGTAGAGACGGGGTTTCACCGTGTTGACCAGGATGGTCTCGATCTCTTGACCTCGTGATCCACCCGCCTCCCAAAGTGCTGGGATTACAGGCGTGAGCCACCACGCCCGGCTCAATAAATAATTTTTAAATTAAAGGAATAAATTCTAATTCTATTTCTGTTTCTGAGCAATAAAAATAAATCTGATGAAATAAAATTAAAAGAACTGAACAGTGAGTACAGAGATGCAGTACACACTGTTTACTGTCAACATCAACTCCACATTCACTTCCCAATGCTATTGTCTTTTACAGCAAAATCTGCCTCCAATGATAGACATTCCAAATGTCAGACATTTACTTTCACAGCCTTTCTTGCAACTAGCAGTAAAAACGTAAGCAATTCTGGGTGATGAGCTATATGAAAAAATGTTTGAAGAATGATTTCTTGGAAAGATGTTTCTCCTGATTAAAGGAGAGAGGAGAAAGAAGGAATGTGAGTGAGAAAGACAGATGGAGAAGGAAGAAAGAGAGGTACAAGGAAGGAGGAGGAAAGAAGGAGGGGAGAGAGACAGAGACAGAGATGGGAGAGAAAGAAAAAGAGGGAGGAAGGGAGAGAGAAAAAAGGAGGAAGGGAGGCACAAAGAGAGAGGTTTCCTCCTCCCTTCTTGCTTTTGATTCTGCAATGTGAAGATGTGATGTTTGGAGCTGCTGCAACCATTTTGCAGCCTTGAGGGAAAGATTTAAAAAAAAATTAGACACAAATCTATCTTCTTGAACTTATTTTTTCCTTTTTTTTTTTTTTTTTGAGACAAAGTCTTGCTCTGTCACCAGGCTGGGATGCAGTCGCATGATCATGGCTCACTGCAGCCTTGACCTCCTGGGCTCAAGCAATCTTTTCACCTCAGCCTCCTGAGTAGCTGGGACTACAGGCATGCACCATCACACCCAGCTAGCTTTTAAAAGTTTTTGTAGAGATGAGGTCTTACTATGCTATTCAAGTGCGTGGAGGATGCCTGAGCTCAAGTGATCCTCCCACCTCAGCCTCCCAAAATGCTGGGATTATATGAGCCACTGTGCTCAGCCCAGTCTTCCTTTTATGTGAAATTCTTTATTGTTTAGTCACCATTCACCAAATAATCCCATCATGTGCAGCCATATCTCTGATTCTCCATTCTCTATCAAGACCTTCCTCACAGCATTGGAGTAATGAATGGGAAAAACACTGAGGACAGTAAATAGCTATGAAAATTAATTTAACTACAATTTGAAGGGAAAGATATTCTCAAATTTTTTCAACAATTGTTGATGGATTATTTCCTCAAATCCCAAAATCAACAAGTCAAGAAAATCATACCATAAAAGCAAAACCATAAAAGAAAAGCAAAATCTCCTGATGAAGAATTATCAAATTTCACATATCTCTAGATCATCCTCCTTTCAAAGTGAACTCCCAGAACCTCACTTGACCAACTCTAAAAATTAGGGTTTTTTGATGCAATACTACAACGTTATTTTAAATAATAGAGATTTTATTCTCCTTTAAGGATGGCCAGGAAACATTTTTGTGAAATAGAGCACATATGCACTAATTGCAGGATAATTGCAAAGGATCTTTTTCTGTGACAGGTTGCATACTAACCTGTCATAACTAACTTATTGTGGGTAATGGCTTAGTCACCTACATAGCAATATAATTACTCAGCATTTACAGCTATGCCTTTAAGAGTAAAGCCATGCAAATACTATAGAATAGACTGTAAGCACAGCAAATGATTCAGGAAAAGCATAAGTGATTTATTTTCTGGTTGTCTAGTCTACAATTCAGGATGATTTGTTCCTCTCAGTGCACATATTTGTGTGAGTGATCCCAAACCACTTAAATTCAGACATGCAAACCAAACGAGAGAGAGAGAGAGAGAGAGAGAGAGAGAGAGCTCAATCTTCCCCTGAACTAACAGGCTCAGGCTTGAAGCCTTCTTGCTGGCAATGACCACCATTTTCATCTGCTCAGTATACACACTTTCCTCTGTTCTTTTTGATAACAAATTTTCCACTAGCCACAGGGTTGGCAGGTGACCCAAATTGAGTCAGTCAAGTGCCACGTAACTACTGGCCCCAGTGACTGGTTCAGGAATGTACATGTGACCTAAGTGGGGCCAGTCAGAATCCTTCTTTTGGCTTACTATGTGAATCTTAGGAGAAATCCATTTTCATTCAAAGTGAATCAGCTCAGCACATTCAAAGTGAATCAGCTCAGCACACAGGAAAAAAAAAAAAAAAAAAAAAAACTAGTTTCATTGTTTGGATCAGACTTCAGCTTTTGCATTACTGGCAGGTTGCCAATTCAGATGACTTCTGACAAATACACGGTGGTTAATGCAAAGATGCCCCTTGGATTGTTGCTCCAGATTGCTTCTGTTGCTCCTCCAATGGTAGCAAACAAAAAATAGATGGTGAACTCGGCTCTAATCTGAATTCAGGTAGAAAGAAAATATTTGGATTAGCTATACCATTGAAACAATGATTAACGTAACAAAGAGATGTGAAGAGTAATTGAGAGTAAAAATTAATTGACCCAAAGAAGAGAAGAATGTGGAACAGCACTATTGAAACACTAGCCACATTTCAGAAAGTAAAATAAAGTGAAAAAAATTTACAATGTATTTAATTTAATCTACATATACCCAAATCTTATAATTTCAATTTATAATCACTATTTTTATTAGTGAGATATTTAACTTACTTGTATTAGTACTAAGTCTTGAAATCCCATGTGTATTTTATACTAACACATAGCTCATCTCCATTCAGACTGCCCACATTTCAAGTGCTCAAATTATCAGAAGCCACATGTGGCTAGCTAGATAGTGGCTGCATATTGAAGGGTAATAGTCTGGAAAATAAAACATCTTGGTTTGTAATTTTTGATGGCAGGTCCCTAAAATCCTTTTAGCCTAGGAACAAGAAGGCTCCCCTACATCTAAAACCCTACTTACCACTACACTAAGTGGAGTAAAAATTCCATCCTGGGGATTTAAATGGCAAGTAGCAATATTCCAGGTGAATATGGGTCCATCCAATCCTGTGTGCCAAGGATCTCAGAGACCTCTTATGGACTATTATGTCTACCCTGTGAAAACACAAGTATGAATTCCTACTCAGCACTTACACTGAGGTTGGTGACCTCTCTCTTGGAGAAAATAACATAATCATGAGCATAGGTACCATTACAAATTCAAGACTTTAAACCTCAAGTGGAAACTCAGTACTATATATTCTTCAATAGCTACTTATATCTTCACAGTGTTCCTTACAGCCACTGTTTATAAAAAATCATTTTTCCATAGGCAACCCTGATCTTTCTTCACAGAGTAATGGAAGCCTCAAGTAAGAATTCTATTTCGCTAAAACTGTTTGCTAATTGAACCTGCAAACTTAGATACTCTTGACCCATCCTTTTTGCCTATTGTCTGAGTCTCATTCCAGTCACCTCCCATTTTCTTCGGAATTGCTCCATTAACTACTTCCTTTGCATATTCAACCTTTTATTTCTTCTCTGCTTCCTCTTTTTCTTCAGCTTATAAACGTGCTCCAATTTCTCTTGCTTGAAAGATAGCCACATCCACTTATTGCTACTGCTTGCTTTCTCTGCATTTTTCACTGAAGCAATCTATCCTCCTTACTCCATTAAAACTGCCCTAAAATAATCAGGTACTTCCTCCTGAAAAGTCAATACAGCCTGTTCTATCTTTAACTTACTATTTCTTACCAGCATCTGACAGAGTTGGGCACAGCCTTTGTCTTGAAAATCTTCCCACCATTGACTCTATGATGCCAGTATCACTCTTGACTTCTTCCATCTCTGCCACTCTTTAACAATCTCTTTGTAGCTTTTTTCCCTTTTGTCTATTATTTAAATGGTGTTGTTACTCAAGTTTCAATCATCTACCTCCTTGGTTTTCCAAGTGTGCACCATAAACAAGCAAAAGCAGTTTTACCATCTGGGAGCATGAAGCAAATTCAGAATCCCGGGCCAAACCCCAGACCTTCTGGATCAAAATCTGCATATACTTTCTCCCTGAGTAATCTCATCCTCTGTGACTTTCATAACTACCTGTATATTAATGACGCCTACATTTGCATCTCCAGCCCAGTTCTCCCTCATGAGCTCTACTACATATATAGAATTTTTCACTAAACATCTCTGCTCATTTGCATGGCAGGTGTATCAAACTTTGTATGACACCACAGACATACCTGGCTGCATGTGTTCTAATAAGAGAGTAATTATAAGGGATCCCGCATGTTTGGATAAGGAGAAGATCATGAGAGAAGGGTAATTATAAAAGATCTCATGTTGCTTTCTGAGTTGAGCTTGACCTGAACCTTAATGGATAAGTTGGAAGAGAGGAAGGGATTTAGATAAATGGAAGATGAAGGAAAGCATAAAGCATATTTTATCTTCAGAATTGATAAGTTACCCTTTCTCTCAAGCCTGTAGACTTCTGCCAGGGAATCTAAAGAAAAGGGAACTAGTCAGAGTTTCTTTTGCTGGTATGAGAGGTCACCTAAATCTCTTGGTCTCTGTCCCCTACTAATTTCTTTTCACTTCTTGAACAGACATTTACTGAACTTCTACTACTATGTCAGGTACTATCCTAGGTGCTAGAGATAGGGCAATAAATAAAACAAACAAAAATTATTACACTCACATTCTTGGTAGCAATATTTATTTTCTTCCCTTAATGAGTTCTTTGAAAATGAATCGTTGTGCAGGGTGAGTCCCTTTGTGATCAACTCCCTGTTAAGCTCCAGGGCTCAGAAAGAATTACAAAACATCACATGAAATACTGGAAGGCAAAGGCTTTGTATTGGGGAAACTTAAAAGCAAGTCTCAGTAGGAAAAGAAAGCCTGGATCCCTCATGTTCTCTTTGCCCCGACAAAGAAACTTGCTGGAAACTGACCCCTTTGTCACCTGAAAATGACTGATATGACCCTAAAATGTGCTTACATATGCTGATACTACAAAGAGAAATAATATCTCTGCCCCTTTGCAAGCACATGAGGCAAAGTATGAAAGGAATGGTGCAAATCTACCAGTACAACTGAGAAGCTTTCTCAAAGTAGATGAATAGCTTTATCAGTATATGGAAAAACAGTATGAAACATTCTGTTATATCCTTATTTTATACAGATTTGACTTGTGATACATTCCCCATTATTTTGATAAACTAATTAAAACCAGTACCAGAGTTCAATTACAATAGTGCACCATAAAACTAGTGAACATAAAACTAGTGACACACACTCATGAAATGTGAAAGTAATCTATTTGAGTTCAGTTATGAGCAAAAAAATACAGATAACAGAACACCAAACCACAGAAAATGTACAGGGGAATTATAGAGTAACTGAAATATGGGCCATACTCCTGACACTTCCATCAAGTAATGTTTTCCTCAAACCCCCAAGGTCTTGCTCTTAAATATGTTTGACAATCATAAAGAGTTTGAACACCACATTCATCTGTTTTCTGTTTTTATATTGCATTTTAGTGATGAAAAATAGAGAAGAAAAAAAGTAAAGCTTTGATATCGGGCTTCTTGCTGTTTTATTTTATCTCAGCCCTATTATCACATATTTCCAGAAATGCACAATAATCCCAAATCACTTTCTCCATATTGGGTTGGTTCCTCAATATATTAGCTGTCAGTGTAAAATTATTGTGCCTCCTACATGACAACTAAAATCCCAAACAATGGTTACAGACAGATTTCTCTATAGCTCAGTGATTCCTCAAAGAAAATGAATTTTCTACCCAGCTAAGATTAATTACCATTGTTACAGAAATTGGAATGCATCTAACAGCTTGAACAGAAAACACTGTGCTTTGCTTTCTATCTTGTCAATAATCACATGCTCCAAAATCAGTTAGAATCACATAATCCTCCTAAAGAAATGCCTACCTACTATAAATGCTTAACTGCAGAAAAGTCAGGAGATGTGAAAAGAGGAGATGGAGATTTGAGGAGGCATTCTGGAGGCATGTTTTCATTACCTCTAGCCTGCCCCAAGAATATGCAAGATCTGGGAAGACGATACTATGGTTCTAGGAAGCCCAAGGTGGGAAGTTCCAGGCTGTTTTTGAAATGGGAGAGTTCCCTGGCCCCCTCCCATCACGAGACATGTAACACGATATGACTCTCTGTTTGGCCACCATGAGTTCAAACCCCTTACAGGAAGTGGTGCACGCAGACAGGCAGGCGCAGGAACTGGAGCAAGTCCTCTGGAGCTCTGGCCCCACAGCAGCATATCGGGGTAGGTGGCTACTACTCTCAAAGCCCAAGTGGGCAAGTGTTACAGTGCACTCTTTTAGTTTTACTGTCTGTGGATGGCTTAAGGTTAAACCAGCTTATTGGACCCTCTGCCTTTTTGCAAAGGCAGGGGTTCAGTGTGACAGCTTTCTGTATCCTGAGCTCTTGTCCAGTATCCCAGAAGAATCAGGTCACACAAAGACTTGAAGGATGAATGTAGGAGGTTTATTCAGTGGTGGAAGTGGCTCTCAGCAGGACCAATGGGGAGCTGAACAGGGGATGGAGTGGAAAGATGATCTTCCCCTGGAGTTTGGCCATCCAGTAGGCAATTCTCTGACCATCCCCAGCCAAATTCTTCCCAACATTCCTTCTTTTCTCTCCCTCCCTGCCTCACTGTTATGCCGTTCATCTATTCATCTCCTCATCTTGTCTGCTCCTGGAGCCTGGAGTTCAGCGTTTTATATAGGTACAGGATGGAGACATGGAGGCCAAAAGGCAAATTTTGGGGCATGAATACAGGAATGCCTGTTCTCACCTAGGGTCACAGGTATCCAGGCTTGATGGTGAGGGCCTTTGCCGGGGAACCATCTCTTCTACCCATTATTTCCCTCTCTCCTCTCCATATCATTTATGCTAGTTTATCTTCCTAACAAATTGCCTAAACTTCAGTGGTTTAAAACAACATGCCAGATCGGTGGTGCAGACCCATAATCCTAGTTACTCTGATGGCTGAGACAGGAGAATCTCTTGAGCCCAGGAGTTCAAGGGTGCTGTGACCTATGATTGTGCCACTGTACTTCTGCCTGGGTGACAGAGGAAGACCTTATCTCTCTTAAAAAAAAAATTGCTTTCCACAGTGACTGAACTGATTTACATTCTTACCAACAGTGCATAAGCGTTACTTTTTCTCTGTAGCCTCACCAGCATCTGTTGTTTTTTAACTTTTTAGTAATAGCCTTTCTGACTGGTGTGAGTATCTTGGTGTGGTTTTGACTTGCATTTCTCTGATGATTAGTGATGATGACCATTTTTCTCATATTTGTTGGCTGCTTGTATGTCTTCTTTTGAGAAGCATCTGTTCATGTCCCTTTGCCCATTCTTTAAAAGGGTTGATTTTTGCTTATTGATTGAAGTTCCTTATAGATTCCGGATATTAGACCTTTGTAAGATGAATAGTTTGTGAATGTTTTCTTCCATATTGTAGGCTATTTACTCTGTTGATAGTTTCTTTTGCTGTGCAGGAGCTCTTTAATTAGGTTCTACTTATCAATTTTTGTTTTTGTTGCAATTGTTTTTGGGACTTAGTCACAAATTTTTTGCCAAAGCTGATGTCAAGAAAGGTATTTCCTAGGTTTTCTTCCAGGATTTTTACAGATTGAGTTTTATATTTAAATCTTTAATCTATTTTGAGTTAATTTTTATATTTGGTAAAATGTAAGGGTTCAGTTTCAATCTTCTGCATATGGCTAGCCAGTTATCCCAGAACCATTTATTGATTACAGAGTCCTTTTCCCATTGCTTATTTTTGTCAGCCTTGTCAAACATAAGGTGCCTGTAGGCGTGTCACTTTATTTCTGAGTTTTGTATTCTATTCCATTGGTTTTTGTGCCTGTTTTTGCACCAGTACCATGATGTTTTGGTTACTGTGGCCTTATATTATAGTTTGAAGTCAAATTGTGTGATGTTTCTGGCTTTGTTCTTTTTGCTTAGGATAGGGTTGGCTATTCAGGTTCTTTTTGATTCCATACAAATTTTAGAATAGTTTTTTTCTAATTCTGTGAAGAATGAATGACATTGGTAGTTTGACAAGAATAGCGTTGAATCTATAAATTGCTTTGGGCAGTATGGCCAACAATCCCTTTACTGGGTGTATACCCAAAGGAGAATAAATTATTCCACCAAAAAGACTCATGCACTTGGCTGGTTGCAGTGGCTCAAATGCCTATAATC